CGCGGCGCCGCTGCTGGAGCGCGGCACAGCCGGCAGCGCCAGGGAGCCCGCGAGCCGGCGGCCGCAGGGCAAAGCGCGAGCAGAGCTGCAGGTACGGGGGCACGGGACGCCCGCGGGCCTCGGGAGCACCCGCGTGGCCCTTGCGCGTGGGCAGCGCCGGGGCCTCGTGCCCTTGTGCCCCTGGGAGCCCCTTTGCTTCCCGCGGAGCGYGGGGAGCAGCGGGGCCGGGCGAGGGGAGCCCGGCTCTGTTGTTGCAACCGTTTCTCCCCCGCGYGGCCGCAGTTCAAGTCCACCCCAGACCTGCTGCGGGACCAGCAGGAGGTGGCCCAGCCTGGCAGCAGCGAGCACACCAAGGAGCTCATCTACGGCGTCCTCAAGGAGGGGTGAGCTCCAGCAGAGCTGTCCCCCGAGTCACCTGGGCCCGGCAATGTCCTGCCTGCGGCTCCAYGGCCGCTCTTCCCTGCCCTTTCTTTTCTGGAAGCGTCAGCCCTGAGAGCTGCAGTGGTCCCTGGGGAGCAGAGAGGCCCTTGTAGCTGCTATGTGGCTGTTGCCCAGGAGTTTGGGGGAAGACAGCAGCAAACTCTTGGGTTTTTCCTGCCTTCTTGGGCCATTCTGCTGTCCTGCTCCATCCCTCTTTCTTACCCCAGTGCTTTCCCTCTGCTCTGGTGTCCACAGGAGCAGGGACAGCGACATCTCCCTGAAAAGGAAAACTAACCTGCTGTTTGAGAAGATCCAGGAGCTCTCGGTGAGTTGAAGCAGCACCCCGTGCTGCTCCCTGCCTCGTCCGCTCCGTGGCTCTCAGTGCAGACCGGTCCCCGCGTCCTCCTGGAGACTCTCTGCTAGTCCCCCGGCGCCCCGGCCGCTCATGGGGATCCCGGCCGCGCTGGGGGCCCCGCAGGCAGGCGCTGCGGCCGCGCTCCATGCCTGGCTCCTGCCGCTGCACGTCCCTGGGCGCCCGGCTTGCGGCAGCACCGCGACCGCTCGCCAGCTGACGCGAGCTCCAGTCTTCGCTGAGCTGCCTCCTGGCTGCTCCCGACCTTCTGCGCCGGGAGCCGAGATGGGCCGCGCGGGTTCAGCRCCGCCAGGGCCTTTCTGGAGGTCACGCTGCCCCTCTGTGCTGCAGCCTGGAGCTCWGAGTGCGCCCTGCTCCCACAGGGATCGCTGCAGGCGGCGGCCAAGGACGTGACCTGCTCGCAGCCCCAGCACCGCGAGCTGGCGAGGAGGGTGGAGGAGCTGCAGGAGAAGCTCGAGGAGGAGACCAAGGTGAGGCCAGGCACGTGCCCGAGGTGGCGGTTTGTACCTCTGGGGCGATCGTGCCGAGGGGCTGCAGCGCTGGGGCTGGCAGGATGCTGGGGAAGCGGCACTGGGCATTGCTGTGGTCGCGAGCAGGGATGTAACTGGTTTCTCTTCCCTGCTGGCAGCTGCGCCAGAAGCTCGAGCTGGCAAAGGATCCGGCAAGGACGGGCTCTGCACGGGCACTGGAAACAAGGCTGCAGGAGGTGCAGGACGAGAGCCAGCGGCTCCGTGCAGCCCTAGAGAAGAAAACTCASGAGCTCCAGAGCAGTTTGCAAGAGTAAGAGCTGCTCCTCAAGGCTCTAGGGCCAGGATGTGCTGAATTGTCCTGGCCTCAGCCCTGGGCAGCATCTGTGGGGCCAGATGTGCCTGTGCTGCAGACATTCGTCTGCCTTGGGGCGAGTTGGGGCTTTGCAGTATGAAGATGCCAAGGGGAATCGCAGCAGGAGGGAGGTGACGGGGCATGGGGGTGTCTGGGAGTGCTGRGTCAGCAGGGACAGGGCAGGGTGACAATTGGGTGCTCTTTGCAGTGTGGCTTGGGTCTTGCTGCCCAAGAAGGGCCCTGATGGGCTATGAGCAGCTTTGCGCTCTCCCCTAGGCTGACTGACATGAAAAGAGCCAAGGAGCAGGTAGAAACCCGGCTGGAAGACTGCGAGGAGCAGCTGCTGGTGATGCACGAAGAGCTCGACCAGCTGCGCAAGGGCTCCGGGACATCTCCGGACAGGGAGGCCTTATACAAGGTACGTGGCTCTGGCACGCGGGTGCTGTCCCTGGGTCCCCGGCAGTGGGACGTCCTGCGCCCGCTCTGCCGAGCTCAGAGGGCTCCTGTCACCCAGGAGCTGCTGGAGACGCGCGAGGAGCTGGAGGAGGTGCTGAGCTCCAAGCAGCGGCAGGAGGAGCACCTGCGGCTGCGGGAGCGGGAGCTCACGGCGCTCAAGGGGGCCCTCAAGGAAGAGGTGGCCAGTCACGACAAGGAGCTCGACCGCGTGCGGCAGCAGTACCAGAGCGACATGGACCAGCTGAGACGCAGCATGGAGGACGTGTCACAGGTCTGCGTGCGGGGTCCCGTGCCAGGGAGAGACTCTTCCCTAATTTCCTCCCTTTAAATGTTCCCGAGATGGAAATGTGGAGATGCGGAGGGTCCCCATGTCCTTGCTCAGCTTCCCTGGGTGGGTTTGGGTAAACATTAACCGTGTCAGGACTTGAACGTCCTTGGAGGGAGGGATGCAGAGCTCTGGGGCTCTCCACGCTGGGCCAGCCTGCCCAAACGAGCGCTTAACACTTCGATCCTGCCTGCCAGGGTCAGGCCAACCTGGAGACGGAGAAGCAGAAAATCAATGCTGTGGTGAGGAACTTGCAACGGGAGCTGGAGGAGAGTGCGGAGGAAACAGGGCACTGGCGGGACATGTTCCAGAAGAACAAGGATGAGCTCCGCGCCACAAAGCAGGAGTAAGTGTTGGAGAAGGCTTGTGACTGTGCACTGTTTTTCCTACAGACTTCGTGGAAAAGGGTTGGCATCTGGGAGGCATCAGAGCCTCTTCTTCCTTCCCTGAGCGCRTGGGATGAAGGGGGATAGCTGGGGAGATGTTGCATTGTGGCTCTGGGGACAGTAGTGGGCAAACAGCTGGTGCGGAGAGCAAGAGTGGGGGTCACGATGTCCCCTGACACTGCCCCTCACCCTGCTCCTTCCAGGCTGCTGCAGGTGAAATTGGAGCGGGAGGAGTTCGAGGAAGAGCTGCGGGAGCTTCGCGATCGCTTCTCGGCCATGCGGGAGGAGGTGGACCAGGTGCGGAGCAGCGCTGTGGATGCCTCTGAGCTTGAGGCGCTCAGGAAGGTAGGYGGTAGCGGGCAGAGCGAGGACAGATGGCTCTGGAGACCCTGGACCAGCCTGTCAGCATCATCATCCCACTCTGCAAAGCCTGGGAGGAGGACAAGGTCCTCTGCCCTGAGCCTGAGCCGTGCCAAGGGTCCCTGCCCGTGGTGTGTCTCCCACCAGGAGCTGCGCCAGGCCCAGGAGATGCATCGGGAGCTGACAGCCAAGGAGGCGGCGCAGGACGAGCTGCTGCAGCAGCGGGAGCAGGAGCTGGCAAAGCTGAAGGGCGCCATGCGGGAAGAGGCGTCCAGCCGCGACGAGGCGCTCGAGCAGTATCGGAGGGACCTGCAGCAGCTCCAGAAGGAGCGCGAGGAAGCTGCAAAGGTGAGTGAGGGCACTCGGCATGGACGGCTGTGTCTGCTGAACCGGGAGCTGAGGCGCTGGCCCCGCCACCTTGGCCTTGACKGGGCTCTTCATACCTTTGTGGGAGCTGCAAACTCTGCAGACTTGTAGCCCCACATCTGCCCACCACAGACAGATTCCCAGCTGTGCTGGAGGACACAAGCCCCCAGAGCCAGCCAGGAATCTCCCCGTGCAGCAGCTGGGCCCAAGACCACGCTGTGACGTGGCTGTTTTGCAGACGAGGGCCTCCCTGGAGAGCGAGAGGGAGTCAGCAGAGCAGGCAAGGAAGGTGGTGGAGTCCACTCTGCGGGAGCTGCAGGAGCACAATGACGATCTACGGAGGAAGATCCTCGGCCTGGAGACGCAGCTGAAGGATTACGAGCGCTTGGGCGAGAACTGGGAGGGCTCCCAGGCCCGACTCAAGGAGAAGGTCACCAAACTGGAGGTATTGAGTCCGCAGTTGTCTTCGTCACCCCCTCGCACCTCTCGGCTGAAAGTCAGGAGCAGCCTGATGCCAGAGAAGGATCCAGGCATCCAGGGCCTGAGGATTGCTTCTGCCTCCAAGAGGATGAGGGAGCCTTGTCTTTTCAGACTGAGCGTAGGCAGATGGAGGAGTCGCTGAGCGAAGCTACAGAGCGGGAGCAGGAGCTGCTGCTGGCTAAGCGCTCGCTGGAGACGCGCTTGGACGAGGCGCAGCGGAGCCTGGCCCGGCTCACACAGGAGCACCAGGAGCTCAGCGTGTCCTACCAGGACGAGCAGAGGCAGAAGGAGCAGCTGAAGCGCGCCAAGAGCGAGCTGGAGGAGCAGAAGCGCCTGCTCGATCGGACCACGGAGAAGCTCAGCAAAGAGGTTGGGGTGCCCTGGGGAGCCCCATCCCATGGGCTGTCACATGCTCTGATACCCTCTCTCTGTGCCACGTAGTCAAGACCTCTGACTGAGACATCAGTAGCTGAATCGGGGGTGAGAGCAGGGCTTTGCCCACAGGTTTGGGCATGGAGCAGGGATCTGGTTGCCCTGCAGAGCCAGCTGGCACACATCCTTCCCCCAAATCCCGGGAACTCTGTCCTTGCACTCCAGCACCATGAACCCACCCTGTTCCCAGGGATCTTCGCAGGCAGCATCACCTGATATCTCRGGGACTTGTCCCACACCTGCAGGGCAAATCCTGCTCCCCAAGAGTCCCAGGCTCTTGCAAAAGCCCTGCTCTCATCCAGCTGGCACCAGTGCTCACTCAAAGGAAGGGGAGATCACCCAGGTTGTGCTGGCAGGGCTTATAACCCTTGGCATGACCCTCCTGAGCCCAGGGTGGAAATGTTCCCCCGAAGGATGTCCCCACAGGCATCTCTTCCTGCCTTGGGCCCCCGTGGCTCAGGGCAAAGCGTGTGGGCCAGTCCTGGGCTCCTAAGCTCTCCCTGCTCTGCCCCAGCTGGAGCAGATGACGGAGCAATCGCACAGCTCGCTGGCTGTGCTGAAGTCGCAGCTGGAGGAGTTCAAGGAGAAGTCCCGGAAGGAGATTACAGACTCGCAGAAACAGGCTAAGGACCGGAGTGCCGAGGTGGAGAAGATGCAGTTCAGCATGGGCCGGCTGCAGGACGAGGTACCRGCTGGTGCCCGTGAGGGCCACCAAGGGGCTGGCAGGTTGCAGGGAACCTTCCCTCCCTCTCCATCCCTCGGCAGCTTGGGGCCAGGCCTGGCGAGGCTGCGCTGGTCTGGACCCCTTTCCTCTGTGCTGCAGGTCTCCCGGCTGAAGCAGGCGCTGCAGGACAGCCAGGCAGAGCGGGAAAGCGCAATCCTGGACAAGGAGGTGCTGGTCCAGCGGCTGCACAACCTCGAGCACGAGGTGGATGCCAAGAAGCGCTCCCAGGACGACCGCTCGCGGCAGATCAAGACACTGGAGGTTTGTAGCATTTAACAACACCACCACCAACAAAATGCTGGCAAGCCACCAAGAGCCCCCTGGGGAGGGAGGAGAGCCCCCCGGGTGGCTGAGCATCTTKGCCAGTGCCTGCAGTGCTGAGCACTAACAGCAAGGGGCAGAGCGGGCCCGCCGATGGCGCTCGCTCGCAGGCACCAGGCTCGCGCTCACCCGTCCGCGCCCATAGGAAAAGTCCAAGCACCTCGAGGTGGAGCTGGACGAGGAGAGGACCACGGTGGAGCTGCTGACGGAGCGGGTCAGCCGCAGCAGAGACCAGGTAGGGCAGGGACCCTTCGCTGGCAGCGGCTGTGCGGCTGTCCCGGCCTCGTAGCCTTGCAAAGGGGCTGTTTGTCAGCAGTTGATAACTTGCTTTTTGGAGTAGAGCCGGTTAACAGAGGCAAAGCCCAATTAATGAGTCATTAGTGAGCAACCTTAAGCCCTCCATTGTTCATAGTCTCTCCGTGGAACTGAGACAACGGCATCTCAAAAGCTGGTTTGGGTGCC